ACTCAAAACCAAACAAAATAAATAGAATGAAATGAATACTTTAAGATTATAAAAGCCAATGCATTTTTCACAATAGATGTTGGATACATAAACCAAGACACCACTAGAGTTAGCCTAGTGGTTGGGTGGGGAGAGGTTGGGGTAGTTAGATTCAATCCTCACTGCGACCATCTTTGTAATATTTTCTATCTTTACCAAAAAAAATAAATAAACCAAGACAATATATGTTATTTTCATTTATTTTAATAAGGGAAATTAAAGCAATCTGCAATGAAGAATGATCCAAACGATTAAGGGGAAACATTTACTAGGTTACTGTCCATGCCTTGCTTTACCTTCTATAGGTCCTTAACATCTTTTCATCTCTAGGAAGTGGTAATGGTTCTCGTGATAAATTTTGGGAGGACAACTGGATAATGGATAGGACCAAGATTGTAGGAGAATGCTTGTTGAGAGAAATTTCCCACATCTCTATCATCCAACTTCAGTACATAGTTTTCTTACCACAATTTTAATAGCATTCAAGATTCCATTTTCCTAGAAAATTTCCACTTTTCTCATAATTCAAATGACACGGAATGGTTTGAATTGTAGCCTCTTTTGGATTGTATCAACTATCTTCATTTGTCTTGTAATTGGATAAAAGGATTTGGACTCTTGATCCTTCCGAGGTATTTTCATCCAAATCCTTTTTCTTTCTTTCCAATTTTTACCTCATTCATTGAATAGATGATGTAGATTGGATGAGTAGCTTTAGGGTTTTGATTTAGGTATTAGGTTAATTTTTAAAATAGGGATTTTAATTTGGGACTATTTGTTATCATTTACTATTTAGGGATTTTATAATACTTCGTATTAACTTATTCCAGTTTAGAATACGACTTATCTTAATAGAATATTTGGCTACATAGACCATCAATGCAATACAATATGGTGTTTTTATGAATATATGGATGGATACTTCATTTATTCAAAGAGTAATTGAAACCCAAGTTAGAGGAGCTGCCTTGGAAGAGCACTCTAGGCTTATTTACCACAAGGGTACTCTTCCAAAAGGAGTGCTCTTGGTTATATTTCTGCATCAAAGCATCAAAGACTAATTTTGGTCCTGCCACCATGCTCCATTCCCTGTTTTGACTTTTGAAACCCCTGCCACAGTTCATTCACTGTTCCAATTTTCATGCATGTCATAAACTTTAAGATTTCTTATCATTCTCCATCAATGAGCAATGGAAATATAAACTGCTTTTCTTGCTAGAGCTCTTTGGATGTTTACAATATGTTTAACTGTCCAAAGGCAAGTTTTTGTACAAGGAGTTAATGATGCAAAGTGAACAAGCATATTGAGGGATTATTGTGTTATTTAGAAATTATCATGTTATTAATAGAATTTTAGAATTTCTTATTTAAGAGAGCTTTCATTACTTTGAAGGTTTATAAAATTAATCAAGATTTATCTAGGCTTTTATATTTAATTGCAATTATGATTTATCAAGAATTTTATCATCTAAAGGTTATAAGATAGTGTTTGACCTGACTTTTTCCCTTTTAGAAAGAACTATAAAATTTAAGTTAAATCTATATGGTAATTTAATATTTCTAGCTTAAAAGTTATTTTATAGTTGGAATTTGGAGTAAAGGAGGAAGAAAAGGTCCCAAAATTAGATTATATAAAAACTCTTTTAAAATGTTTTCTTTATTAAAAAGCAAAGCTCGTTTTATTTTTTTAAAGCTTTTGTATAATTAGGTTTGACCTAACTGTTTAAGAGAAACTCAAAAATTGTTGAGCCAAAGTTCTACCTAAATAGTCATTAGGTGTCTTATGTTATTCAAACTTTTTGCGTAACTGGTAACTGATATTTCCTATATTTAGGCTGTATCTGAAACCTGAGCCAAACGAGCAGTTTGCTCTGAAGAGGACACTAGCCTTGTTTCTCAAGAGAGTAACTTGTCAAGATAAGCATTTTCAGTTTCCCATTCTACATCAATAGAGCTACATGGAAATCTTGATAAACCCTTAGGAAATCCATAGTTCATTCCCTTGTAAGGTCAAATCTTTTATTTCATTGAGGCGGATGATATAGAAGTAAGTATACTAAAATATTCATGTTCACAAGTCACATAAGGGTCCTGATGTGTGGTTTATGATGCTTGTTCAGAATCGGTTCCTCATGCCTTCCTACAATGTTCTGCTTCTGTCTATATACGTAATAGAACGGTTTTTTGGTGAATGTTCAGTGTGCCCTAGGTTCTTCAAACAATGTTTTTGACTACCTTCTGTGGTTTCAGCAGAAGGGGCGATGATAAATTTCCATGTAATGTGCACTATGCTACTCTTTGGGCATTTAGTTGGAGCATAATGCTCATACTTTTGAGGATGTATCATTGGCAAAGCATTCTTCTTTTTCTTGGGAGGATTCCTTATCTTCCAAATTCCTTCTACTTTCTTCTATTCATGATGCTCATTTCTTATATTACAAAGAAAAAATATTTATTTAAGGGTTGACTTTTTTTATATATCATGCTCCTACCTATGTAAAGGGATTTGACAATTGTAACAGGAGTGTTGTAGGATCGGTCAAACATAAAGAAATTTAGTATCTTCTCTTGGCTTCTTAACCAAAAGATCAGTCTCATTTTGATTGCTCTCTGCCCCTGGATCTTTTGCCCATTATTTTCCACCAAAATATATTTAGTCCTACAGAGCTCGGAATTAGTGAAGATGGAACAAGGAAAAGAAAACAATACTTACTTTGCTTCCTGAACAGAGCTTGGACAAAGTTCAGCAGCATATTTAACTAGCTCACTAAGACACCGAGCCCACCTGTTCTTATCAGGGCTCTCAAATATTATAGATTGAAGTGTCACTTCAGGAGGAATGGTATCGGGTTCTCGTTTCAAATCAAATGGTCTTCCTGAGTCCCAATAGCAGTTCTGAACAATCTCATCCTGTAATGCCAAGGTATTTAGTATTTAAGGGAATAAAGCTCAATATGACATGATTGAACCTCAATAAACAAATAATAAAATAAGATAAATGATATAGTGCAGCCCATAATAAGACAATATCATTCTGACAAAATTGAGCTAAAAATAAAGACAATAAAGGCAAATGTGTACCCCATGTTCTTCCAGAACATCAATAATAAATATTGGTTCAGCTTCATATTTCAAAATATTATTTGGTTGTTCATGTATCTTCAGGTCTCGAATATCATTCCTCAATGCACGAACACAACGCAATAATTCTAGTGCTGTATGCCTAATTTGACTATCAACAGAACTAAGGAATATGAGGCCAACTGCATCAATTTCTGATGCGCGAAATTCAATGGCTTCGCCTGATTGTTGGAAGGAAGACTTTCTGAATCTCTCAGTTTCATGCCCAAGAGATTTTGCATCTGCATCAAGTAGAATCCTATCATCTATCAGACAAGATCTCCAAAAGCGCATGAGTTCCAACAGGCGCCCTAATGATGTTTGAATGAGAAGAGGAAATTCATCAGGAAGTTTTAATATGAAGTTGGCCATTCCCTTCATTACTGCAAATCGACGATGGGGTAGATATTTCACAATACGGTTTAGTACTTGCACTGCTTCTTCACGAACACCAGGGTCAATACTTATGCCATGTTGTGGTATTATTTCAGTAATTTTATCAGTTCGCCCAACTTCTTCTATTAGATTTGGGATGCACTTTAGCACAGAGCGGAATAGATACCCTTGAGACTTTTCCTTGGTTACAGCATCTACAACATAGCATTTATGTCATGATGACAAGTAGAAATCCAATAGTCAACCAATTAACCAAATATACAACATTCTAAATTTAAAAATAAATAAATAAATTAACTACAAAGGAATTCTCATCCTATGCAAATAAGTAGTTTTTCCTTTTTGCATCATTTCAATACTATCAGTGTTTTTAAGTACCAATGAACATAATTAAGAAACGTACTGAAAGCCAAACCAGTCTAAAAATATCTTCACACCCACACGGATCTTATGGTGCCATGATGGCAAGCAGAAATTCAATAGTCAACCAAATATAGAACAATCTAAATTTAAAAAAGAAAAATTAACTACAGACTAACTCCAATCCTTTGTAAATGAGTGAAATTTTCCAGTTTGTACCATTTCAATCCTATCATATTTTGGAATACCAATAGGCATAATTAACAAATTTACTGAAAGCAGACCAGTCTGAAAATATATACATTTCCCATATAACTTACTCACATTGACCTCAAATCTAAACAATATTTATTCTTCAAAATTAGCTTGTACTTTATCAATTTCAGCGTAGTGTTCTAAAGTACTTGCAAAACGCAAAGTAAACTTCCATTAACAGAAATCAGAAATGTGCAAGAAAGAAGCAAAGTGAGAGAAAAATATTCAGAGAGAATTCACAGAATTTTGAGTGTTCTATTACTGGGAAAGTTACTGAATTACTTAGCAAAGAAGACAAAAAATACATTTATGATTAGGAAATGTAAACTAACTGCTTAACTACTCATCAACTGTAACAGCCTAGCTGACTCTGCATAAAGTCTGATAACAAACTTGAATAACTACCATAAAATTAAAAGCTTACTCTAATATACATTAACATCATTAATTTATTTTTTAATTAGAAGAGAAACTTGTTAGGAGACAGAAAACAGGAATGGAGAAACAGATAATAAATTATAGGCCTTGAAATCAAGAAAACAAAGTGGAAACGAAAATAGCCACCTTGTAGTTATGCTCCTAAATCTCTCTTTAGATCTATTAAAGATGAGTTCCTAAACACAGTAGTTGTGAATTGTAAAATAGCCAAGGCCATCCTTTCAAATATAAGCTTGTAAAGAAGTCTGTTTTCAGAATCAAAAGTACACATCGTTTTATACATTGTTTCACAACACATTGAAAAGAGAAAGAAAAATATTCTAAAAACACAACATCAAAAATAAAAGTAGCATTACTCTTCTTTGAGTAGAAAAATAATAATTGCTTTGAATTTTTTTTTTTTTTCATATTTTTTATTGAGTAATTCAAATCTTATAAATTGTAGATAATACAAATTATTGTGCGAAAAAAGTAGTACATAGGGAGGTAACCTGATTCAAAAATCAAGGAGTGCTAAACGAAATTGAATCTAGGTATGCACACAGATCAGTCGTTTATAGTGTGGATACAATTAGTCAGGGAGCTAATTACTTGCTAATTTAAAGTGCTCCGATGAATACAGCTGACAAACTATTTATATGTGCTAAATATGCTAATGTTCTAATGAGCATACTGCCCTTAGGTTCATGATTTGTATGAACAATTAAAAGAGCAAACCAAAGTTGTGTGCAACCTATAAAGCACCGATACTTCAACTTGCTTCACGTATCCGTATCCGATACATATCCGACACGATACTCTTGGATACTTCACCGATACTTGTCAATGAAGTATCCTAACTTTTGAAAATATTATGAAAATTTTATATAATCTCGATACTCTCAGATACTTCACCGATACTTATTGGTGATACGTATTGATAAAGTATTCAAATTTTTGAAAAATTATGAAATATCCATTACAACTAAATAAGATATATAAACATTTTTAATATAGAAACATAGAAATATTGGTCCTTGATAAACTGTAAATGAAAATTGTCTTCTACATAGATAATTTTAAGAAATGAATGAAATTTGGTAATATTATTTCTATTTGTAAATAATAAAAAATAATTTATGATGAAATGGTTTATAATTATTTTTAGTAATGTACAATACGTATGTTTTTAATTTGGATTTGCAAAATAGCAATTATATATTTAATGTTTATAAATTTTGATCAAAATTACAAGTACACAATTATTATATTGTATGAACATTGATATGTATGACGACACATATCTTACAAGTATCGTATCCTATATATTTTAAAATAATCGTATCGCCGTATCAGATACGTGTCGTATCCGATACGCGTATCGTATCGGTGCATCATAGTGTGCAACTATTATTATTGTCAAGAACTAAATCAACCCTAAAACTTCAGCTATTATGTGCAGGCATGTATGTGAATGGGTTTTATCTCTTAACAATTCCCCCTCACACAAGATCCCCTTATGGTATGTTAAGGATGCCTTTATAGAAAGAAAGAGAAGGGAGGTCATTTTTTTTCTTTTTTAAATAGTTATATAATGTTTATAAAAATAAACAAAAGATTGGGATATTAAGTGTGGTAATTTACCATTATATTTCTTTTATTTTGAAAAGTTATCAAATTAGAGAATATTTTTCAGAAATGAAAATTTTACCCTCTCTTCCCTTTCCCTCTAAAACTCCCATAACTACCCTTTGGCTCGAAGTGTGGACAATGCATAGGTTCACTTGCATGGAGATAGACATGTAATAATGTTGTCATTTCCTTGGTATGGATAAATGTTGTTGATGAATATCTGTTTTGATGATATTTCATTTATATTGTACTATGGTTGGTCTTATACGTGTTAACCCTTATATTTCCATGATGTGGATTGTGATGATCTCACTATGTGGGGGAGCAGATCAGGTGTGAGGCTTTGGGATGGCAAATATTATATAAGAAGATATATAATTATCGGGTGTTACAGGGCGTGCTAGCAGACGTGGACCTTGTGTTGTTTTTGGTTGCTGATATGGCGCCCGACGTGATCTGAGCATGCCAGGCGTGGAGACTCATTGGGAGTCTCTTTCTGGAATTGCGCCGGGCGTAGGATAAATGTGCTAGGCGCGGAGACCTCTGTAGGTCTCTGTGTAGACTATTCCAGACGCAAAGTGAGCGCGCTAGGCGTGAAGTCATTATTTGAGTTTGCGCCGTGTGTGATCTGAATGCGCTGGGTGTATGGTCTATTTGAGGAAAACCTTTTATAATTGAGTTTTTATGGAACTTTTAAATGTTGAATCATATCATCTTTTGATGTCATATATTTGGTATGGAATGTTGGCATGATTATGGAAAAGTTTGTATGTAACTATGGAATATGCTATGTGTACTTGGTTTGGAAAGCTAATAGGACTTAGAGGAGTAAGGTTATGGTATGGACTGGGAGATCTCTTGGTGAGATCAGGATATAGTCTTTGGGAAAATATGGAATTTGGGAGTCCCATGATGAGGATTCCAATATGGAACTTTTCCAAAGATTGTATGATAAACCACTTTAGATGTTAGGTAGATTCTGAAGTACTCCTTTAAGCATTCTATTTTCTATCGGTATAAGGGCAAGGCTAAGTCATACCGATGGATGAAGTGGCCAGGATCACCAAGGTTACATGACGATGTAATCCAACTGTATATTTTCCATGAGAGGTTAGGTGTGTGACATGGGCAGGTGACATGTTCACAAATTCAACACTTGGTTTGGATGTGTTAAGGTCAACATTTGGTTTGGATGTGTTGGCTACTTCATGGGATTATACAGTGGTCTGATGTTCGTTTGGATATGGAATATGTATGCATTGGTATGGATATGTATACAATAGATTTTGGATTTGGTTTATAATGGCATGGAGATAGACATGTAATAATGTTGTCATTTCCTTGGTATGGATAAATGTTGTTGATGAATATCTGTTTTGATGATATTTCATTTATATTGTACTATGGTTGGTCTTATACGTGTTAACCCTTATATTTCCATGATGTGGATTGTGATGATCTCACTATGTGGGGGAGCAGATCAGGTGTGAGGCTTTGGGATGGCAAGGAGTTTTTTGGTAGCTGCTTTGAGAAGTGGCTAGACTTAAAGCTTGACCAGCACCTAGGGTAACTTATTTTGATATTTTCATGATGTTGTAGTTATATTACCTTTTTGGATGACTGTATAATCTTACTGATGATGACTCTTTTATGAAGTTATGTTTTATTTGATGAAAACAATTTACATGTTTTTGAATATTTTCACTCTAGTGTAGCTGACATTTGCTCTCTTTTCTTTAATATATATTATTCTTATGTGTTGTTTAGGTGGTTGTTGATGTGGCGACCTAAGGCTGTGTGAAATCGCAAAACACAAGCGTGTTCCTTATCCATCATGTACAAAAGAAAAGCACATTTCCTTTTTACCTTGTTCATACTGATGTTTGGGGACCGTCTCCTATACCAAATGTGTCAGGGGCTGGTTGGTTTGTGACGTTTATTGATGATTGCACTCGAGTTACTTGGGTTTTCCTACTTAAACACAAATCTGAAGTAAGCAATGTCTTTCAGAATCTCTTCTCAATGATAAAAAATCAATTTGGTGTGTCCATAAAGAAACTTAGGTCGGACAATGGCAAAGAGTATTTCAATCAAATCATTACTCCATTTTGTTAAAAAGAGGGAATAATTCATGAGTCTTCTTGTTTCCAAACACCTCAGCAAAATGGAATTGTTGAACGCAAAAATAGACACCTCTTAGATCAAACCCGAGCATTATTGTTTCAAAAAAATGTTCCAAAATCTTTTTGGGGGGAGGCTGTTCTCACAGCAACATATCTTATCAATCGTCTTCCCTCTAGAATTATGGGATTTCGAAGCCCTATGGATGTACTTTCTTGTTTCTATCCTAACATGTCCACCTCTAGCAATCTTGTACCAAAGGTCTTTGGGTGTGTCGCATTTGTCCATGTTCATGGTCCAAATCGGGGCAAACTTGATCCTCGGGCTCTAAAATGTGTGTTTGTTGGATACACCTATACTCAAAAAGGGTATAAGTGTTATTATCCTCCTTCAAAAAAATTCTTTATAACTCGGGATGTCACCTTTCATGAGGAACAAAATTATTTTTCACAGCCTTATCTTCAGGGGGAGAGTCTTTGGGAAGATAAGGAGAGTCAGTTTGAAGCTTCAACCCTTCCAACTCTTGAGTTAAATTCTTATGATCTAACCCAAGAACCAGAGCCTGAAAAGGCACCAAATACAATTGAACATGAAACTGAAAAAGCACCAGAACCTCAAGAAAAAAATGCACCAATTGAATTTGAAAATGATAAAAGGTTTGGGAAGAATCTGGTTTACACAAGAAGATCAAAGGTCGTTCCTGAATCGACACTCGTCCAAGAGGCCAATCCAATTCCTTCAGATCAGGTAACAAACTCTGATTTTTTAGCTTCAAATGATAATCTTTCAACTTCCCAAAATGAAATAGAAATTCCAGAACTTGACAATGATCTTTATCTTCCAATTGCTTTTAGAAAAGAAACCAGAAAATGCACAAAAAAACCTCTTTATCCTCTCTCAAACTATCTTTCATTTCACAAATTTTCTCCAACTCATAAAATTTTTCTTGTAAATCTAAACTCTATTTCAATTCCCACCAATGTTTTTGAGGCATTATCTGATAAAAATTGGAAGCAAGCCATGGATACAGAAATGGAGGCCTTTGAGAAGAACAAAACATGGGAGTTGGTTTCTTTGCCAAAAGGAAAGAAACCAGTTGGTTGTAAATGGGTATATAGAGTGAAGTATAAGGCAGATGGATCAACGTTTGGTTGGAAAATTAATTTACTTGTCTCACACAAGGCCAAATATCGCATTTGTTGTAAGTTTGGTCAGCCAATTTATGCATTGTCCGAGAGAAGTTCATATACAGAATTCTGCAGTACCTCAAGGGGACTCTAGGAAGAGGAATTTTATATAAAAGAAATGGAAATACAAGTCTTGAAGCCTACACTGATGCTGACTATGCAGGATCAATTATTTATAGGAGATCTACTACGAGATACGCAAGCTTCCTTAAATTAGTCATCTCTGCATTTGTCAGCCGAGAACGCATTCCTGTAGGAAGAAGCCTAAACGGTGTTTTGTAACCTGGAACTGTCCGGGGAAGTAAATCAGCATCAGATATGAATTTATTAATTTATATGGGATTTGGAGGATTTATATTTCTTTCCGGTAAAATGTATTAGATCAAATATTGCAGCACACAAACTAATAGAATAGCAGGAACATCAAAAGAAACCACAGCCAGAAAATAGGAAATCAAAAGGGAAAATAGTCACTACTGAAAATAAACATGTTTATTATTTATGAGAATGAGAGATTACAGAGGAACCAATATTCCTATTGCCAAGTGCTAAGCTCCTATAGGGGGCAAGGCTCTCTGCTCATAACTAACCATCAGATTGTTCATAGCTCTCTGCTCATAAATTTTTACATGACTGAACAAAGTGTGATATGTATATGCGTGTTGGCAGTGAGTCAGTGGGACAATTGCAATTTGAGAAATAGAAATTGTATTTAACCACTTTACCTTATGCTAATTCTAATTTGAGAAAAATGGATGGCACAATTGCAGTTTGGATGGGGTAGTAAGTATTTAAATCCAGACAATTTGATTTTGATTATATACACAATACACTTTATATGCCATATCAAGAAATCCACTCTCCTAAAAGTTTCAACTATTCAATCTGTGTTATTCTGTCATGAATATACCACTTGAATGCTAATCAAATAAATATTGTGAGCTTAGTTTCAATTGTAAAGTATAATAATAATAATAATAATAATATTTTTTATTAAATATACTTGATTGATCAAATATTTTGAATAATTACATCCACCATTTCTGTCCCAAATTTCTCACTTCTCTCGTTCCCTGTCTCTACTATCTTCAATTCTTGATGTCTCATCCTTCCTCTTTTTATATATTTCACAAAACTAATCTATCAAATTATAATTTGAAGGCACAAAGAAACTTATTTGTACATCATAAATTAAAGAAAATTTTGCAGTAGACTTAAATACATAAAATATGAAGTTATTTATTTACGAAATCTGCAAGTCATAAGTAAAGAATTATGTTTTCCACGATTTAATTTGAGGTTTGATTCAGCCTTTTTAACTGTCATGCTTATACTTAAACACCTTCAATCCAGCTGGCTATAATAGAAGCAATTACCTATTGTTGTCCGTGATGATGTCAAAAGTGCTTGACTATATGTTTTGTGACAGGACCTTAATATTGACTCAATTGCAGCTTTCACTTTTGGAATGTATTGGCCAATATCAGGACCTGCTCATTCAACAAAACTGTCAGTTTTGTTGCAGAAAATAAACATCTAGACAACTATTTAAATTAAGCAAAACTATGTACAATTATTCTAGAGCATATGATTAATTGCACCTTTAAATATATCCGAACAAGAATGCTTACTTGAAGGTGACATGACAATGGCAAGCAATGCACGAAGACCAATAACCTTTGCTTCACTAGGACTGTCTTGCCTGAGTAGTTCTAATATCATATGATTCATGGTAAAATCAAGGTTATGTTCAGCTATAGTTACGCAGAATTCAACCAGTTTATCATGTTGAACATCCTGAGTAAGCAATCCTTTCTTTAGAACAGCTAAAA